TATCCGTATAATAGTTTGCATGAACTTCCATGAATATTCACTAAACTGTGGTACTACCTCAGAGAAATATACAGGGTGGCGCACCTCATTCGCCTCGGTTGATTATACAAAAGCGGAAAGATGTAGAAACGAAATATTTTATGGGTATATGTGGGGAGGCAATGTGTACAATTAAAATTATTTTGAAATATACAGGGTGTTTCAGAACTAAGATCCATACCAAAGTTATATTTTTTCTTATGGAACACCCGGTATTTTATTTCATTTTTGGATTCTTGGGCCCAAAAAAGGCATTTATTTTAAGGGTTCAATATGTTTAAAATCTTTGGTTTTTGAGATATTTAAAGATATTTAAATTTGCAAGCTAAAATAGAATATATTATTAACACCCTGTACATTACTTTTTAGAATTAACTCTTATGCTGAGTTGAAAGGTAGAGAAATAAACTTTACAGAAAGATGTTATTGCTTCCTTAAATTTATACAGGGGTATCAAAAATTGCTCTAAAATTTATTTTAAGAATTTATTTTACATAAAAAATTCGTTATTTCAAATACAACACCCTATATTTTTTTAAATAAATCGAAGCAGATTCAAATGCTTTTTAAAACTATATTAGGGTTTCCTATACCTATCTAGTTCAGATTTTGAATGAAAATCAATTTTTCAATAAAATGGCAACCAAGAGGGTTCGTGTCGTTATGGCAAGTTTCTAGTGACAGTTACTAGGTATTTTCAAAATCGAAATTAGTTTATGGCTATGGTTTACGGACCTATTTAAATTTATACCCAGTTCACTGTTATTTAATTTACCTACAATAGTTTAATAAAATAATATTTATTAATTATGTAGGTATTTATTATTCTATCAAGAAAAACGAAGGAGTAGTTCTTTGATTTATTTTACCTACGATGACTTGTAGATATATGGATTTTCTATAAAAGAGCCAATTACGGAAATTCATTTTCTTCGCTTCCAACGACAGGTTTCTGCCTACTTAATAGGTTTTTTATAAACCACACTACCAGCTCTGCGAAATAGGACAAGCAGTTTTTAAAAGAAACGCTTATCAGGAAGATTCCTATTTGGATATCTTTGAGCATAAGCCCTTGAGTCCCAGATGCAATTTTCCTCACAAAATAAAATCACTAGTAACATATCTATTCGTTCCGCCATGCCAGCAGATACTGCATTATTTTTTGCCACATAGGTATAGACATTTTTTGCATTATTTTTCTTGATAAAATAATGAATACTTACTAATTAATTAACATATTGTAGGTACATTTAAGTAAACAGTTATAAATTATAAATAATAATGTCCATAAACTAATGTCGACTTTGAAAGTAATTACTAACTGTCACCAGGGACGCGCCAAGTATTTTCGGCGCCGTCGCGCGTCGTGCGAAATAAGGGTAGGCGCCTTTCTCCGATATTATAATATTAAGCCAAAATTTCCAATGACCAGCGGCGCGGCGCTCGACATTGGTGAATAATATATTTTCACCACAGGCTTTCATAGATTAAAGTATTACTTAAATTTTATGTTAATTTGTGGATAAGTTCCAAAAAATGGTTTTATTATTTTTTAAAGTCAGTAACCGTAGGCGCCCCTAGGGCTTTGGCGCCGTCGTGCGCCGCACGACCTTGCCCATATGGACGGCGCGTCCCTGACTGTCACTAGAAAATTGTCATGGCGACAGCAACCATCTTGATTGCAATTTTATTTAAAAATCGCTTTTTATTCAAAATCTGAGCTAGATAAGTATAGGAAACCCTAATATAGTTTGAAAGAGCATTTGAATCTGCTTCGATTTATTTTAAAAAATACAGGGTGTTGCATTTGATATAATAAAGTTTTTATATAAAATATATCTCCGTAAAATAGATCAGCAACTTTTGATAGCCTTGTATAAATTTAATGAACCAATACTATTTTTTAGTAAAGTTTATTTCTCTACCTTTAAACTCAACATAAGAATTAATTCTGAAAAGTAATATACAGGGTGTAATCTATTCTATTGTAGCATGCAAATTTAAATATCTTTAAATATCTCAAAAACTAAAGATTTTAAACATATTTAACCCTTATGACAAATGCCTTTCTTTAGGGCCAAGAATCAAAAATGAAATAAAATACCGGGTGTTCCATAAGAAAAAATATAACTTTTGTATGGATCTTACTTCTGAAGCACCCTGTATATTTCAAAATAATTTTAAATTGTGCACATTGTCTCCCCATATATACCCATAAAATATTTTGTCTCTACATCTTTCCGTTTTCGTATAATCAACCGAGGCGAATGAGGTGCGCCTGTATAGCGTTAGGGAGGGTAAAAATAGAAATACTGGTTGATATAACCGTCACTTCTTTGCATACATCTTGTATTGTTACTTCATGTCACAAGAAGTCGAGCACAAGTATAGCAAAAATTCAAGAAGAGTGTATTTTATTTAATGCCAATTAATATACATTTACAATAGCATATTATTTTAGTATCAATATCTGTTTACGTACAGTATGTCCCCGGATTGTCTTGTTGCCTTGTTGAGAAAAATGCATTCTTCATAAAAAATTTTGCTTGTTCTAAAATGGTTTTAATCCCGTTTATACTTTTCCAAATTTCCACATCGTTTTAGAGAAAATTCGAAAAAAACATGAAAATATGGTTGAATTTTTCACAAAATTAAAAAGGCGTTTCTATGGTAAAAGAATTTCGATTTCATTCTTTGATAGATTATTATTATTATTAATTTTGATTAATGTTATATTCTTTGTTGTTGTTAAAATATCACATTTTCGGATAACTACTATCACCCTTTCCGTAGCATTAAACTAAATAAATTGTGTGCCTCTTTGACATTTTGACAAACAGGAAAAAATATGTCGTTAATTAAAATTCTATCAACAACAATCTATCAAAGAATGAAAATGAAATTATGTTACCATAGAAACGCGTTTTGATTATAAATCATAGAAATTAGAACAATCGCCTTTCGTTTTCGTTATCATGACAACCAAGATGACAATATCATGACAATTCGTCATGTTTGTTAATTTTTTTTTTGGTGATTTACTTTTTTTTCTAAACTTTCCATTTTATTGACTTATGAATATGGATAGAGAACAAATTCATTTGTTCCATATAGGTATTTATATTTTGTTACTTAAAATTTTCGGTTATACTATTTGTTATTTTATTTGCTGCAGGAGCCAGTATCATCTATTTTTTATATGTATTGGTGCACACTGGTGCACACTTTCTCTGATAGATATGTTAAAGACACCCGGTAAAATAAAAGTAAGTAGTTATATTTATCATCTTATTAAGAAAAAAGTAGAAGTAGTAGTGTCAAAAATATTTCGAACCTCTCTTAACATAACAAATTAATACAATTAATTTTTTTCATTTTTTGGGTAGGTAGTTTATAGCTGGTTTATAGTAACCATAAACTTTATTAATATACCTATTTTACTTCTGTTTTAGGATTAAAACTGGACTTCAAAATCATCAGGGGCGGATACAGAAATTTATTTTAGGGGGGGCCCAAATAATAGATAATGTAGAATATGCTTTTTAGAGCGCCATTTTTAACTCAAAAGCTTAATATTTAACCCAATTTATAGATTTTAGGGGGGGGGCCAGGGCCCCATGGGCCCCCCCTCTGTATCCGCCACTGAGGATCATGATTCTCGTAAAGTCTTGCCCCCCAAAAAAATTGGCCGATCGTTTCCTGCAACAGTCAGTTCTTCTGCATTTAAAATTGGTAGGTGGGTGGAATAAACACTGTTACTTTTTGTTATTATATTATAAAAAGTTTATTTATTTTTTGTATAAATAAATATGTTTATAAAACAGTACACTTTTTGCTTTTTTTATAATTTCCCTTATAATAGTAGTATTCTTTCGTTCTGAAAGAAACTGCAAATTTTCACTTAAACTGATTTATTCCCTACACTACGTTCTCTTTACGTGGTATAGGGAATAAATCAGTTTAAGTGAAAATTTTCAGTTTCAGAATGAAAGAATACTACTAATAAAGGCTAATTTAAATTTTCCGCCAGCCAGAATGTGCGATAATGTCTTACGATACGTTTTATACCTATCTTTTTCTTTTTCATATAAAGAACACATAATAAAGAAAGATGGCAATAAAGACGTACGTCCTGCCATGGTCCTGCTAATTGGTTTCAAAATTGTTATTCTGAGTTGCGCTACGGGAACGCGGTCCCGCTCTTTACCATGAGATTTGTCAGTCTCTTTTTATTTGTTTGTTTATGTTATAAATATATAAACTTTCATAGAAAATTCAACTACACCTTTTTTCTAATATTCTCTAAAACGGTATGGAAATTTGGAAAAGTATAAACGGGATTTCCCGTTTATACTTTTCCAAATTTATAATTAATTATATTATAGATAAATAAACTATTTTAGAACAAGCAAAATTTTTTTATGAAGAATGCATTTTCTCAAAATATGTTAATAATAAAAAAGGTTTTCTTCTTGTAAAGACAATCCTTCTTCACTTTTGAAAAACACTGGGTATAAATATAATTGTTCATTAATCTAGTAAAAAATCAGTCCGTTGATGGTAAACGAAATTCATGAGTTTTGTAGGGTTTTGATTTTTTTTATTACATAATTATTATTATTAAGAGACAATAGTTAAAAATAGAAATGTTGTAGGTATATTGTAAAAATTAAGTATAAAATCCAATTTGACCTACCATCGCATCGGTAAGTCTGGTTTAGATTCTCTTCTCATCAGTCAGCTATTTCTTTTCATCTTACTTTAATTTAATATAATGATTGAAATTGTGTTAACTATATATTAGTTATGTTTAGTTATTTCTCTGAGGGTAATACAGAAGTCTAGAGACAATACAGATATAAGGCATTTGAGCTAGATAACATCTCGTGTAAAAAGAACATGAATTTCATATTAAAAAAATACACATATGCATACTGTACTTTTCAGTTAGTCATACTTACTTGGACTCTTTAAGTTAAAGCTGTCGAAATTCTTGTACTTATATTGTAGCTGAAACAAAAAAATAATCATATGTAAAAAAGCACAATACAGGTAAATAGGTTATACTGAATGTGATAACTTAAATAGGTATACAGGGTGTCAAAAAATAGTGTATCTAACTTTAGTGGCTGATTCTACAGATGAATATATGTCCTAAAATGCTCGCCGAGTAAGTTACCGAAAGAGTAAAAAAATAATATATTTTGTTTATTTTTAAGAGCATTGGAAAACCGTTCTTCTTGAAATTTGATATCTACTCTTACACTTATGGTTAATGCCAAAGTGAATAGTGATACTACTGGCGGTACTTCTTTTATCCTTATAGATACAGTAATTTCAACCAATGACAAAGGAAATTAAAGATAAAGGATTATACTACATCCGTATTGTAGCACATTTTTAGACAACTTCTTTATTTTTAAGATTTTGATGGTCAAACATCAACAAAATATTCCTTATGTTTGGACTAAATTTTCTGGAAAATAACGACATAATTTAAAATTCCGTTACAATACTTAAGAATATACAATAGACTGAAGTTTTGTGATTACAGTGATATATAATTTATATGGTTTTGTAACAGCAATTTTATGGCAAATGCTGAAGCTCTGCAAACCTTAACCAAGCCTTAATCAAAGCATGTGTGTTTGGTATTTTGGGTCTGGCTTAACACGACAGGGTCGGGCTTAGCCTTAAGCAGATTTATGAAATATAATAATATTTCCTTCGGCCACACACCCGCTTTACCCGACTCCTGAGAGCAACCCGAACAGTACAGCGTAATAGATTCTTAAATGTTAGATCGATTTTCGTATTAGCGAAATGATAAAAATTATAAATAAATTAATATCATGATTTCGATAGTTCTAAAATCGATGTATCGTTTCGAACTAAGCGAAGAGCACCATTTTTACGGGAAAACCTCGGGAAAAACGTTCTAGCTTTTTATGTCATTATTGAAATTACTGTATCTATTACTGTAAAGATTAAAAATTAAGTACCACCAATAGTACTCTCTACAGTCTCCACCCTAAATACGGAATTTTACACTATCGCTATTCGCTTTGGCATTAAAATGCGTGTAAGAGTATCAATTTTCAGGAAAAATGGTTTCCCAATGTTCTTAAAAATAAACGAAATATTATTTTTATTTAACCTTTCCAGGGTCGTAACTTCTTCGGAAAACATTTTAGGGCATATTTTCATAGAAACTTTTTATTTTATTTTGATCTGTTAGATAATATATAAATCAATTAAAATACTTTCTGAAAAAACAAGACATAAATCACCATTACATCAGAAAGCATAAGAGAATATTTTAATATTTTAGAGTAGGTAAGTACATTATGAATCTATTAAAGTAATAAAAATATCTATCAATTATTAAGCAACAATGTAGAAATATTTAAATTTATAAATGTTAACCTATCTTGGATCATAAATCATTTAATTTTAAATTGAAAATATAATCGGATGTCTACTAATTTCTCTTGGGTATTATGTCATATAAATAAATTTAAACAAAATGCATAATATATGCTACAACAAAACATCAAATACAAAATCGAAATCGACATAAAACACTGCAGTTTAGTTATAATAATATGCTAATGATGCTAACACGGTTAGCAAAATGCGCGTCTAGAGTTTAAAATGTTTTGGTGTTTAGTGGTGAATTAGTATTATATTTTGTTGTTGAGAGGTATGCAATTTTACTGTTTTTTTTCAAAATTTATCCTTGGAATTTTTCTTTAAATTTTATTTTATTTTTCCGTTTAATAAAATCCGTATTAATATTATACAGGGTGTCCCAGAAATAAGTGCAAGTATTTTAAGGGGTGGCAGATCTCGATAAAAGAAACATATTTTCTCTTTATCGTTTTTCAAATAAGTCCAAAATAACGGAGTTATTTAACTTTGAAAATTTCCAAAAAATTGATATTTTGCTCAAATTTTGAGAACCACCGGATCTTTTCTGAATTTTCTTTCTTGTAAATTTAATCTACTACCTACGTTGTCATATTATCAAGAAATTATGTTTTTTAACTAAAAACTAAAAAAAATCCAAAATTTTGTTCAAAAAATGCCGAATTTTCAAATTTTTTTTTCGCGAAAAAACCTCGTAGACGTGTTTCTCTCGTTGGATTATACTACCAGTTAAAATACTTGCACTTATTGCTGGGACACCTTGTATAGTAGTTTGTTATTAGGAATGTATATTATAATTAAAAAATATAATCGGATACGATCGCTATTGATCGTAGTACCGTATAATCGAGAAAAAAACGGTTAAATCAATTAAAATCGGCTTATCATAATGCTCTAATTAAACATAATGATCAAGGAAATAAAAATCGGTGTTTAAACAAATGTATTAATTGTATAAGGTTTTGTTAATATACATACCAAGAGTATACAATTTTGAGAAACGGAAAAAAATTGGAAGAAAAAAGGAAGAGAGAGATATATGAATTAAGGACGCGTCAGCAACTGCGGCCTTTTAGCGTCCGAAAAAAAGAAAGAATTGAAAGAGAGAAACGTTAGCTCGACAGTTAAAAGACCATACCCGTTATGGTATTTTTTTAACTATTGAGACAGTTACACGTTAGTGGTATACTGATGCTTCCAAAACTGAAGCAGGAAAAGGAATAGGAGTATTTGGGCCGAAAGTTTCAAACACCCTCTGGAGTACGTTAACAAAGCAAGAACTTCAAAAATTATGTTGTCATCTAGGTGACTCTTTTCTGGATATTTTGATTTTTGATTCATCTCAATAGCATTCTATTTTTTGGAAATATTCGTTTTTGAAGAAGACACTAACATTTTTTCGTATTTTTTCACATTAAAATTATGCCTTTGCTTTTGGTTCTAGTCAACAGACCTAGAAAATAGTGTTTATGATTCATCTAATACCACTGTCTTTGAAAAATCATATTATTATTGTCTGTTGGAATTGTCCAACTAGCCGATATGGTTTTAAGTGCAAAAATTGATCTCTACCATAATCAATTAAAGCAGCAATAGCTGATACTTCAGAACTTAAAATCATCTCTACTCATAGTCTCTACTAGAGCAAAACGTCAATAAACAGTAGTAACATGACTTGTCAATGACAGTGACATTACAAAAACAATAAACACTATTTGATAAGTTGTAGCGTTTTATTTTTCTTTTTATAAAATTCCAAATTTTAATATTGCTGGCGCCATCTATTCGCTAGATGTTAAACTTCATTCAGTACAGGTAGCGGTTCCTTTCCATAAAAACAAATTTCATTCAGTATAGACGATAGAGTTCACTTAGTTGCCTTTAGTCATATGACCTGTCAATTCGAAGACTTCCGTTTTGGGAAAAGGAGGAAGGAGGCTTTTTCCGAGAGATTGAGATCAGAAAAAGACGCGTGGTTCAGCGTCCGACGAATCTCAGAGAAAAAGGGCTTTCTGAAATACTTTTCCTAACAGTAAAGGCACGGGTATCCAAAGGTGGAGATTTGAAATCCTGTAGAATATACTGTTCAGAGCCTAGTTCGTGTTTTTTTGGCCTTTTCCTGGAATAAGATCACAGTAAGTGTATCTACCATTTTGTATCGCCATGTCTAACTAAATTTTTATTTCAGTTATTCCTGTTTTTTATTTATTTTGATAATGTTTGATTGTGCATTACTGGTTTGATCAGCATATAGTTTGGCTATATTTTGGAATGTGTACAGCCTGATTTTCAGATCGTAAGTTATTTTTTTGGTATTCGGTGTTCTGGAGTTTTTATAGAGTAACTATGTATAAAGAAATTTGATAAGAATGGGTATATGAGTAACTACCTTTGGAGACAGTATTTCAGACCGTAAGTTATTTTTTTTTGGTATTCGGTGACTGTTCTGAGAGTTTTTTTTATATAGAGTAACTGGCGTATAAGAAATTGGACGTACAAGTAATTGGCATATGAGTAACCAATTTTTGAGACAGTATTTAAGGGGACTCTACATTTATTCTACTGATATCGAAGACTCCCTGCTACTATCGAAGAGTCTACATCCACTTCCGTTGGGGTCTGGAGACTGCCTGCTCACCTCAGTCTTACTACGTCACAAAATATAAAAAAATACAGATAAGTTCTAAGTTCAACACAAGGTATTCCCTAAATTTTTTTACTTTGAGACAATATTTTGAATATCTCTGTAAATTGTTGTCATTTATTCCATATATTATAGTCAAAATTTACCTTTTAGTTAACATTATAAGTCATGCTTTGTCCTTAACGGTACGTTTTACTTCAGTATGATCTTTTATGTGAGAATCGCTAACACGGATTCATTTTTGAAGGTTATTGTACACGACTTGTTTCGAAACATCATCGTATTGGTACTTACATAAATTTCACCTGTTTATATATTACGTAGTATAGTATACTGAGAGAACTCTAACTAAATTTGAGTTTACTTAAATTAACTAACGATTTCATTGGGATAATTGAAACTGGGTTTTAAACTGATTGATAATTGTGTTCGTTTTTAAATAAATGTTCAACGTAGGATAGTTATATCTGACTTTTATTCTTGATGAACATAATAGACCCTTATTGTTGTTGATTATTTTATTTTAGCTATTTCATGATCAAATTTTCTTACTGGTTTCTTACTTTACCTTTTCATACCCAAAGTAAGTGGCGCCCTTTTTTACTGTCTTTGACCATTACTATTTGAATACTTAACATCAATTTTAGAATCTTTGCAGCCTATACATTATTACTTTTTATTTTATTATTTAACAACATTATTAAGTCACCACAGGTCACAAGTCTTACCTGAACCCAGCTCTCCTCTAACCCTGAGCAACGGATACCTTTTTTCTTTCTGTTTGAGTGATGACAGAAAAAGTCGTCACACAAATAGAAGAATAAAGAATATGACGCCCTGTCATGGGGCTTTACTTGGTTTAATTGGCTCGACTTAGTTTAATTGGCTCAATTTAATTTAATTTGCTTCCACTTATTTGGTAGACTTTGTAAAATAA